AATAAAGAGAGATGTTCTCTCTATGTTTTTTTGTGCGATATATATATATATATATATATATATATATATATATATATATATATATATATATATATATCTCCTGCAGTGTGCCAGCATCCTGTCAACATAAAACTGCTGACTAAAGACTTGGATTGCCACACACACATATCAGGAGATTTTATTTATTTCTACTAATCTGTTTAATACCAAAGAAGCTTATGGAAAACACTCCCCCAGATCAGGGAGGAGAGAAGTACATCCAGTAGTAATTACCAAACACTGCTACCAAAAGACAAGAGGAGCGGGGAGGGCGACTGAGGGAGGGGTGAAGAACGAGGGAGTGAGAGAACAGGCAGGGTAAACGAGGGAAATCAGGGTTTAAGAGCTTTACTGCGCTTTAACTCCAGCAAATTATTCCGAGCCCCAAAAACAAAGAGGGGGGTGGGGGAGACGAGGGTCTCGGCTGAGATCAACACTGTGTGTGAATTAATGAAGCTCTTTGCCGACACACACACACACACACACACACACACACACACACCAGAGACTTCAGAGTCTGGAGGCCAGAGATGCTCTCTTAATTGTGTTTTGACAAAACAGAAATGTCTCATGCCTCATTTTCCAATTATAGCTGCTGCTCCGATTAGGACGAGGTATTTTTTTTTCCGTGTAACTCGCAGGAATTTATTATTGAATAATTATTGAAATCTATAATAAGGACTGTCGTAGCAAACTGTTATTGGAATGAACATAATCTCTGCAGTTCTGTCTGTTCTTCAACCTTGTCTTCCAACTAGAAAGCACTTATTAAAGTTCATTTATAGGTCTGAATGGACAAAGATCACATGGAGTTCCTCAAGGCTTTGATGTTAGACCACTTCAACAAGCTCCTTCTGTTTTAGATTACAGAATACCAGATTTCATTTTCATTGCAGAAAGGCTCATTCTATTAGTCGCTGACTGAGTTTTTTCAGACGCACTCCACTTCATGAGTCACTGAGGAGTACGTTCATAATTATTAATGATAAATCTAAAAAGACTTCTACTTCTGCTGCTTGCAGGTATCTGCAGGTTAAATGCGTAAATAAAAAACACCGGCTGTAAGTCAGAAAAAGAGAAAACTAGCTGCGTATATTAAATATTTAGCAATACTGCACTGTTTCTGGAAATGACAGAATCAGCTCAAATCTGTCTGCCGTCCACCGCTCTGAGGAGTTCTTCAGACTCACCGTACGACATGAGATCTTTCCATTAAAAAGTAGGGAAACTATCATAATAACTTCAGAGAACCCAACTTAAATGTCCCACCTGTCTCTTCAACATTTATCAGTCAACAGGTGTTTGCTAATGCATTTGAAACAAACAGAAATTGTTCAGAAACGTTTTTTTTTTGTTTGTTTTTTTAACGCAACCAGCAGAGCTAACTTACATCATAAATTATGTCACACAGATTTAGACCGAGGTGGGTCAGGCCCGCTCGGCTAAATATACACGTTTTTTTTTTTTTTTAGCTTGGCGAAGTTTATTCTTCATCACTGTTAGAGGAAATTTGTCTATCCCTAATCCTTCCACCGCTGCTGACCGTGAGGGTGAAACATTGCTTTTGTGTGTGACAAACCTGATAGATCCCTTATTGATCTTGAACACACACACACACCGTGTACTCTTGCAGTGTGCCAGCATCCTGATTAAACTTCTAAAGCAGATTGCATAATGCGCGCAACAGAAGCAGGGCAGTGGAGATTTAGAACAGCAGCAGCCTCTCTGCCTGCGCTGAAGGGATTGCATAAGGCGAGGAGAAGGGATGGATTCGGGTCACGGAGGCTCCAGGAGCCGTCGTGACTGATTGGACCAGACACACTCAGGCAAGCGGAGCTCACTCCGCGTCTGGACGAGAGCGAACGAGGGAAGGCGGAGAGGAGACCAGCCTTCCAGCATGTCGACCCCTTCCACTCGACTGCTGGTCTATTCCTAACCAGCTGAAAATAAAACGTTAGGAACAAGTGGGCGAGTGCAAACATTTCCCTTCCCTCCCCTCACCCGTTTCTTTACTGAGATAATTCTCACATGTCTAATTGAGTTCAGGAGCAGCAAAAATAAATAATTACATTGTAGGACTCTGAGGAGTTAGGGGTCCCCTCAAGGTGTATTGATTAAAACCTTAACATAATTTTCCAGCAACCTTTAAAATCCAAAGAGCCATTTTTGCCCTCAGTCCAGCAAAAAAATAAAAATAAAAAAAATTAAAAAGCAGATTTAGAGCTGCAAATATAACATAACCTTCTGAAAAAAAGACACTGTATACATTTTGTTAAGTACCTACTACATGGAAATTTGTTATAATGTTTAGAGAGTGACCATTTTATTCCTATTTTTAGGTTTCAATATAAAGAAAAACCTAAAACTTATTTTAATGATGGCTACATTTTCTTATGTGGGATGTTGATAGTCACACAAAGTGTCCAACATAAAGCAGAGCTAAATAAAAATGAAATAAAAAGTACTTTGTGTCATTCTGTTATGAAATATGAAATGCTATCTGTATTTGTTATTGTCTAGCTAGCTATCATCTATATACCTTTTAATTTACTTTACCTATTTTAGTTTCCTTATCAAAGTAGTAACTAATTAAGTAAATGTGAACAGCAAAACCAGCATGAATAGCTATTTGTTATGCTAGCAGTGACAAGGCTAACAACTATTAGCAATATTGGTTAACTTGATATATCTCTGTTGTTTATTCATGTAAACATTGAATAAATCTGTTCACAAACATTGTGTAGTGCTGTGCATACACTGATTTAACAAGATAGTTTAGAAGCATGAAGTAGAGGTACAAATAAACTGCAAGTCTTGAATAAACTGTTTTCTGTGTCTTTAGGTTGGAGTTTGTGAGAAACTTTCAATTTTCCAGGTAGCTCTGACTTCTTGGTCTACTGCAGCTGGATGTTCTGACTGAGTCCGTACATCCCAACTTTTAAGAACAAGCAGAACGCACCACAGCCATTCCAGCTAGCCTAAAGCTGAATGCTAATGCTATTGTTACTCTAGCCTAGTGAGTCAAGGGGGAGACAATTAAGTTTTTCCCAAATTCTGATAGGAAAGTTAATTACAAACCATTCGAGGGGTAAAAGTGTGTTTGAAGGTGTCACATGCGCTGCCATAGCTAAACAAGAAAAACAGGAAGCTAACATGAGTAGCTCTAACTATTTATCTACATTCTAGAATCAGCTAATGACCTGCTTAGCGTGGGAACTTTTAAGGCAGGTGTTCATGTATTTAAGCTCTTAGTTACCAACATTCACTTTCACTTGTTATATAATTAATGCTGTTGTTTGCCACTGCTAAGCGTTTCATACTGTGCCTCGCAAAGTATTCATAAAACCAGAACATTTCCTTTGTTTGACACGTCACAACCCAAAACCTCAATGTACTCTATGTGTTGAATACATGTGAAGTGGGCCAAAAAAATCTGAAAATTATTGTGTGTTTGTGTTCAGCAAGCTTGACTCTGATGTCCCAAAATTAAATCAAATCCAACCAGTTGCCTCTTATTAGTAAACAGATCTACATATGTATAATCTAACTTTATTCTACATTTTCTGTTAATGTATCGCAGGTTCTTAGAGAACATTTGTTAAAATGCATCATAAAAACCATGCTGAACACAGCATAAAAGTCAGGGAGAAAGCTGCTGAATGGTTTAAATCAAAGCATATGCATGTGTTAGAATGACCTAGTCAAAGTCCAGATGTGAATCCTACAGATAATCTGTGTCAAGACTTAAAAATTCATGTTCACATGTTGTTCCTCCATACCAACAGAGATCTACTGTCGGGGTATGAAAACGTCTGAAACTAGATGCACGCCACACTTTTCAGATCCCTTTTTGTTATGGAAAAAGGGTAAAAATTGAAACTATGTATCCTTTACCTATAACTTTACAATTATGCACAGGAGTTTTGGACATAATATGTCAAAAATAATTTTAAAAAGTTTGACAACATGTGTTACAGTAGATACCTTATCAAGGAGCTGTTCGAAGAGTTTTGTTTTGCATCAAAAACAGCTTAATGCCCATGAAAAATGCAGGAAGACACCAATAAGTTCCACAATTCAGTCAGGAGTCACGCATGTTTCAGAAAGTTTGTTTTAATATTTTTATGAATGTCAAAAAGATTTAGATAAAGAGTGTTTTACTTACATTTACTATGAGACGATCACTGCTTTCTTTGCTTATCGCACTCAACTGGAGTCTATACTTGTATTACATCATTTGTGGGATGTAAAGTGTGTGCGTGTGTCTGCGTGTGTGTTCCTGTCGTTCATTACATAAGGAGAGCATCAGTAGCCGGTCAAAAGTGACCCTGGGCTCAGTAACTCAGTTTGCAGAGTGAGGTTGTAAAAAGCATAATTGAGCATTTGGATGTGGGACAGAAGTCTGCGGTCCATTTGAACAGTTCCCCTTTGTGTCTTTATTACATAGTCAATTATCTGGGTCTTAGATAACAGAGCTTTTTTTTCCCCCCACCACAGGACAATAAAAGAGATGCGCCAACAGAACCACAGTACTTTTCCTGAGCGGTTTTCTGCATTGCAGATGTTAATGGCTCACTGAGTCCTCTGAAAGCTTTCCTGGGGAGAGCAGGACATACAGATAACATACTGACGTTATTCACTAACACTATGACGTCTCTGGAGTTTAGCATGGACGCCAGATGTCGGAGAAATGTACGGGCTTGTGCTGCCCTCTAGTGAAATGAAGGGCACACTGTTTTAAAATGAGTTTAAAAAGAAATTGAGTTTTACTTTGTTTTGTTTTTTTTAAACACTGCATTTATTTTATGCATAACTTTACATTTCACTTATCAACTTCCCTATTTTAAATCGGCCATTGCCATAAAAATCTTAATTCTTAGTTGTATTTGTTGTAGTTTTGTTTCTTTGTTCAGTCAGAAGTGTGTTAAGTTAGAAGACTCAGTCTGTTATTAGCTGTTTACCACCTCATAGCCTGCGCAAGCTAGTGCTAGCACTAGCTTTGTTTAGCAATCACACTTTAGTTAAAATATGATGAATACAGAAATAATTTAGTCTGCAACTCAAAATGGGCCTTGATAATTTGCCAAAACACAACAGTTGTGCCAGATTTGGTTGACAGATCCTATTAAAGTGAGAGGCACCGGAGAATCCCAGATATGGTAGCGCTTAACTCTAGCGATTGCTCGCTCTGCAATGATCTGCAGTCGAGCAATGGTCTGGGTCTCCTCCGTCTCTTTCTTGCTGAACTGCTCAGGATGCCTAAATGCTGGAATGGTGAGTTTGGCTCCAACTTTATGAAGGAGGTCTTGAATGAGGAAGCCTTCATCCGCCATGATTTCATCTGCTGGCTCAAGCAGAGGAAGGATTCCACTGATCTTCGTTATGTCTTTGTCTGAGATGCAGCCTGTGTACAACGCTGAAATAAATGTCACCAAGCCACAGGGAGCAACTCCGATCAGCCCTTTCAGAGTGGAGTGGTTCTTGTAGGTAGAGAACGTTTCAGACTGTACGGTGAGGAATGATGGCGTCTCCAGAGCAATTTCTGTGCAGTCCAAAATGACACGGACATTTGGAGAGAACTTCAGAAATCTCTGAGGCATACTGGCTTTTACCTTCTCACGACTAATCCACAGGTTGATGGAAGAGAGCATAATGAAGAGGTAGTTGGCCCAGGTGATGGTCACTCGGCTGACAGTATCTATGCTGACTTGAAACATGTCAGCAATGAGCTGCTCCTTCATGCCCACTGCTACCCTGAATGAGTACATCAGGAACTCATCAATCAGAGGCATGGAGCGGTCAGGGCTGGCTTCAGCACATGCTTCCTCTCCAAGTTCCTGTGCTCTGGTCCAGTACACAAGGCGTGACGCAGAGGGTTCAATGGACTCCCAGAAGATCCAGAACACACGTTCAGATGGAAATTTGGTGTAGAATCGGATCTGGTCATCAGAGGCACAGTAGCGGCTGAAAAGTGTGGCAGACAAATCCTCTTTTTGAAGTCTGTTCTCCAACGCCTTGATATAATCCAGAGCTTCATCAAGTGCACCTGTAAAACCACAAAATAAAACAACATAACATACGGTTAGCAAGAAGTTTCAATTATATCAATGTAACATTACTTCTCTGAAGATCAATTCATGTTGTGAGTCCGAGCATGTATGTAGATAGCCATTGACTTAATCTCTCCACAAAGCATAACCACCACATAATCTCATAATAATTATTTAATTATTATGTGATCTTAATAATAATCACATTATGATAGTAATAGTTATATTTGACTGAAATTATCTTACATGGCAAATGTATACAATGTACTATCTTAATTTGACCTTTACCTGTGGGTGGATGTGCTACATAATCATGGTCCGCAGTAGCATCTTCAGCCTGGCTAGCTTTCTGAGAAAGGACAAACTCCTGTTTCTGATCCCTCTCGAAAGCAGACTCTCTTGTTGCTGGTGCAGTGAAGTTATTCCAGGCAAAAAGGGAAGGAACAGCTCCACTTTTAAGGCGGGTGGTAGATCCGCTAACAAAATCCTCCAGCGTGAAATGGCGGCTACATACGTAAGTGCTCCCTCTCTTGATACAGAAGTCGGGACCTTCCTCTCTTCGGATCGCTTGGATCCACTGCTTCCGTTGGTCCGGGTCCGTCGGGAACCCATGATAGGACAGATATGGCTGTTTTCTTGCACAACATGAACAATGAGGGACTGAACAAAAACAACTGCGCCGAGACTGTGCCATTTTCCTAGCCTTGTAATGCTAACGCTATTGCCACCGGAAATGGTCAAACCCCACATCCGTTTTAAAACGCGGAAGCGTGAAAAAGGTCTATTGGTCATAAACATAAGCTGTGTCCGAATTCAGGGTCTGCATCCTTCGAAGGACTGGTCTACGTAGGACGGGTCCTTCGAAGGCCGGGAATAAACTAAGACCGGAAGAAAAATATCTGTGGATTCGGACAGGTCTAGCCTTCACCAACTGTCCCCGCCCCCACCTCAGCGTAACTCATGTTGCCAAGCAACCGTGACAGCGTGAAGCAGAGAGCGGAGAAGAAAAAAAAAACATAGACATAAATACGTAGACGCCTCATAGATCGGCCCGTTGCTGCGATACGCAACAGCGTCC